CTGCTGGATCCATCTTCAAATACGCGTGATACGAGGACGGGACAGATCCACTGAACGCGAGGGAACATATGGAGCCAAAACAGTGAACGGGCACGCGCATTGCGTCACTTCCGCTTAAACAGCGCGCGAGAAAGCGACCCGAGTCAGGGATTTCTCAGTCACTGTATGCGCTCCCAGAAGCAACCACAGTGAATCTGCTAATGCTCAGTTTACACACCAGGCAACTGCTGATGGACCACAGATGCAAAATATTGCGTTTTGGCATTTTCTCAACTTGCGCAATGCACCTTTAACAGCAGCTGTGAAAATGGAAACTAGGGATGTAAAAAACTATGCATTTTCATGACCGACCACCGAGCCTCATTAACCGGTTGAAACCGGTTAACCGCGTAGTTTAAAATATTCCACGTTCTTTGAAATAGCAGCCATTTCGAGCCGCGTACTTTTCATAAGTGTATCTATGCGTTCTACTAGATCAGAGCTGAGACAGCGGCGCCAAAACCCGCAACAGCTTCGGCACCTTTGCGCACAGAGAACTGCTTTTTTAATCTTCCCATACTGTGCTGCGGGTTAAAGCATTTTTAAGCAAAAGACGGCTTGTTCACATGGTCAGAGCAGCGAGTTACACGCCGCGTCTCGCAGGTCTCCGCTAAAGTTTAAAAGTGATGTGTGTGGATCTGATCTAATGACAAGGACCAGCAGCACAAACATGTTTCATGTGTTTGGAGCCGCGTATTTGCGAGGATTCTTTGGGCTGCGAGACACAGAGGTGCGCGACAGACCGGTATGTGTGTGTGTACAATACATGTGTGTATGTATGTGTGTATGTGTGTGTGTACAATACATGTGTGTATGTATGTGTGTATGTGTGTGTGTACAATACATGTGTGTATGTATGTGTGTATGTGTGTGTGTACAATACATGTGTGTATGTATGTGTGTATGTGTGTGTGTACAATACATGTGTGTATGTATGTGTGTATGTGTGTGTGTACAATACATGTGTGTATGTATGTGTGTATGTGTGTGTGTACAATACATGTATGTGTGTGTGTGTAAATATAAGCTCCAATGTAGTTCTGACCTGCACTAGTGTGGAACTTTGGCGGTAACAGAGGGGAGAGATGATGCGTGTGGATGTTACGTATGGAGGGGGGGAAAGTGTTTGTGTGTGTGTATGTGTGTGTGTGTGCGCGCGCGCGTGCGTGTGCGTGGCTGCGTGCATATGTGGAGCGTGCGCCATGAAAGTCGCCCGTAGTCTACTAATGCATTGGCGCACACAGCTAGATACGGACCCGCTCGTCACATCGTACAAATAGGGCTTAAAATAGCCTTATTAAGAGACCTCCCCTCTCCGCTTTTTCTTATTTTTAACCGACAGCTTTGACCGGTTAACGCTGTGACGGTCAACCACCGGTTAAACGGTCACCGATTTACATCCCTAATGGAAACTGAACCTAGAGCTTCGCGTGGTCTCGTTTGGACGAACGAAGGAGTAGAATTATCCTCTGTGCCGCGCTGGAAGCCCACGAAGCTAGTTAGTTTACTGGTCGCCATTGTTGTTGATGATTGTTCTCCGCTACTGCGCATGTCCAAATGTACGTGCGGGGAGCAGCGCGGAGGTGGGGGTCAGAGCAGAGGGGGATTTCACACCTTTTCCCTCTCGCGGGTGTGAAAGAGCTCCCGCTGTGCAGCGTTTCTGAGTTGTCCCACTCTGAGGCTGGATCTGAACACTTACGTTTTCACCCCCCTGGAACACAGTCTTCGTATGAACGGTTGGTAGAAACCGACATCCAACTATAGCGTTTTACTGCCACATTGTCTCCGTGTAAACTCAGCCACAGACTCTTCTAGTGATCAAAGTAGTTGTCTATGGTTTGATTCGCATGGCGCCGTAAAGATGGCGCCGTGGCAAGAGCTCTGGTGTGTGTCGTCTGGTGCACACTGGGGTAGTCTTGCACAGTTTTTGCAATGTGGTTTTACTGCAAATGGCAAATAAATGAATCTGAATCTGATTTTGTCTGAAATAATTGAAATAACTTAAAGCTGCACAAACTGACTTTATTTTTGTATTCATTACGAAAGTGCTATCCATGTCCATGCAGTGCATTGGGATATGCGTCCTTTAGAAGAAAAAGTAGCTCAGATTTGTGTTGGCGTGACATTATATTTTAGATCGAGTTTTGATGAATCAAGGAAGAGAATGTGTTTCGGGTCGCAGATTGTGACCAATCACAGCGGACCACTGGCCCCCACTTTTGTGAGAAATCTACAGGTCTGTTAGCATAGACGGCTGAGTTAGCACAACAAGCGGTGGAGCTAACCTGAAACTTCCTCGTCTTCGTCACCGGTTTCTGCTTACACAGCAAAAGAAAGTCCCGTTCCTCCGCACTTCCCGGTTCTATTGTTCTATGGTCACGCCATCCACGTGCAAATCCATATCCATGTATTATCCATATTGGGAGACGCTAGCTCCGTCAACAACAGTGGGTGTGTGGGGGGGGCGATAGCTTCGTGGGTGCGGGGAGGGGAGCAGAAAGAGAGGCCAGCGAGTCTGGGGCTTCAAAATCCCAAAGTCAGTTAGTGCAGCTTTAAATAAAGGCTGCTTTAGTGTCTTCTTCAAGAACATGCAGAATCTTCAATAAATCAGATTCAAAGAATGTTATGTCTGTATTTCTACAAAATATTATCTTAGAATTTAACTTCTTTGCTTTGACCCACGTCGTTACTAAGTATCATATCTTTAACATCGGTGTCGTTGATTGGCTGCAGCCTAATGAACCACACACTTGCACCTTTTTCTAGCCTGACAACCTGATTTCCTCTGTTGTGCTGCTCCATGATTGGCTCCAGCCTGCTGGACTGAAATTGCCCCAGTGTGCCCCTCCTTGATATCCCGCAACCCACCACCAGGGTTCCGACACATAACACACTTTTTTCAGGAAAGTAAACCTCCAGGGGTCCTTTCCATATTTTTACAGAGACTGCATAAGGACCGTTAGAAAAGCATTACCCATTGATTATTAAGCTTGGACCAGTGGGGTCCGGTGTTCGGGCCCCACGACTTAAAACTAGTCTCCATGACGTGAGTGAAATTTCAGGTTATGGAACCCACCAGGAGTTGAAAACAAGTGTACACACACACACGAGAGGAGACACAGTCTGTACAGTTGGTGATATAAATTATTTATTTACAGATACAGAAAAATGAGACTCCGCTGTGATGACAATGGCCCACGACACACGGCTCTAAACTCCAGTCTCTATATGAACACAAGGTGCAAGGCATCACGTGTAAAACCCCTGGCCACGCCCCCTCCCAGGCCCTGCCCCTCCCAAGCCCCGCCCCCACCGCCAGGCTGGACGCATCAGAAACCATCGTCAACCTGGCAACCCAGCTCAAAGGTCTGAACGTCTGCTTCTGACTCAGGATTAGATTTGTACATTTTATGATTCTGTGGCATTCGACCCCAGTCCCCACGAGTCTCAAACTGTGGGGCGTGTTCCAACCAAACCAGGTCAAAACAATGTGTATGTTTGACTGTGTGTGTCTGTGTGTGTCTTTGCTTTCTTGCAGTGTGTGTGTGTCTTTGCTCTCTTGCTGTGAGTGTGTGTATCTCTGTAGCCTAAATCCACATGGACTAGAGGCCATCCGCGGTACTGCAGCCTCAATCCACTGTAAGGAGATTTCCCCATAGACCTTAGTGATGGACACACTGGATTGACAGACATCAGACCCGGGGCTTGTAACCTGTTTGCTTCATGCCAACTCGCTGGCTCAGTAGGGAAGTGCTCATGGTCAAGCTCCTATTGACTTTCATTGATTACTATTATTGCGCTCACTCCTCTCCTGAACCGCAGACGTTCAGCCCGATCACAACAGTTTGAGAACCACGGCTCGAGTCTTGTCTTTAAATGCGTTGCCGGATAATGAACCCACACATGTTACAATTATAATATTCAACGTTTGGAAGACCGGGAATTCTTTGTCTTGGATGGGCTCAGGATCTGGCAACAAACATTTAGAAGGACTTTATGAAGACCAGAGAGAGAGACCAGAGAGAGACCAGAGAGAGAGACCAGAGAGAGAGACCAGAGAGAGACCAGAGAGAGACCAGAGAGAGAGACCAGAGAGAGAGACCAGAGAGAGAGACCAGAGAGAGAGACCAGAGAGAGACCAGAGAGAGACCAGAGAGAGACCAGAGAGAGAGACCAGAGAGAGACCAGAGAGAGACCAGAGAGAGAGACCAGAGAGAGAGACCAGAGAGAGAGACCAGAGATATGTACATGGTTTTATCTTTATCTAATTCATATTCTTTTTTTAGAATCATTACATCGATAGTGAACTACAACTCCATTGGAAGAAGCTGAGGCAGGACATTTTGGCTCGGATGAACACAACAGATGATAATCTCTCTGGGGACTCGAACCCGGGACCCTCTCGCTGTGAGGCTGAGCACTTACATCTCCCAAAAGAACACAAGTGATGATCGATGCAGGCTTTAGGGGTTTTTTGGTGGGTCCAGCCCGGATTTACCCCTGGTTTGTCTACAGTGGACAGACATCTCCTCTACCACAACAAACATTCAGCCCAAACATGGACACACGAGTCCCTCAGAGTCTGGGCCCAGTCTAGACCCAGACCTAGACCCAGTCCAGACCCAGTCCAGGAACTGGTCCAGGTCTCCCCAGGGTCTTTTTAAAGTTTGGGTTTGGTCTAAACACACAAAGACGGTTCTAAATCTGCAAGTAGTCCTGGTAACTGGTCTGGACCTAGTTGAGTCCTGGTCCAGTCTTGGCCCCTGGTCTCTATTCCTAGTCCGGTTTTGGTCTCTGGTCCTAGTCCTAGTCTTAGTCCCAATACTGGTCTGGTCTTAGTTTTGGTTTTCTGGTCTCTGTCTCTCTCTGGTCTCTCTCTGGTCTATACAGTCTCTCTCTGGTCTCTCTCTGGTCTCAGGTCTCTTTCTGGTCTCTGGTTTCTCTCTGGTCTCTCTCTGGTCTCAGATCAGTCTGGTAGAAGCTCTCATGGTGTTCTCGGAGCTGAAGTGGACGTTATTGGTTTTCTGTCGGTGAATCCGATTGGTCCGAGGGCACTTTCTGAAAAAGAGAAGAGGATGAGTGTGTGTCTCTGTAAGTGTAAATGTGTGTGTCTGTGTGTGTGTGCTAGCTTATGTTCAAATTGTATTCTACTGCATTTAAGCTAACACCGTGGTGATGTCACACTGTGTGTGTCACGTTACCTGGTGATGCAGAGGATGACCACACAGATGATGAGGACCTGGAGCGCCCCGATCACAGACGCGATCAGGACATAGTGCAGTTTCCCTGAACCCGGAACCACATACAGGACGTTGTACTCTTTAGTGTCGCACTGGGGACCGCTGAAGCCTGAGTGACAGCTGCAAACACACAGACAACTGAGGACCAGAGAGAGAGAGACCAGAGACCAAAGATACAAGAGAGACCAGATACCAGAGATAGACCAGATAGTCTGACAGGTCCTTCACTGGTGCAGTGTGCTACAGTGAGCTGCAGGGGGCAGCAGAGCTCCATGGATTTACACTGTTCTGTGTTCTATGTGTTTGAAGTGTACAGAAGCCGCAGTAGCTAGTAGCAGTAGAGTAGTAGCAGCAGTAGCAGCAGCAGCAGTAGCAGCAGCATCAGTAGCAGCAGCAGCAGCAGCAGCAGCAGCAGTAGTAGCAGTAGTATTAGTAGCAGTAGTATTAGTAGCAGTAGTAGTTACAGTAGCAGTACCTGCAGGAGGGAGGGGCCAGCACACTGGGATACAGACAATCCCCGTGGATGCAGTAGTTCTTGTAGTGATCAGGACACGGGATGTAGAGCCCTCGAGCCTCTCCCTCCTCCACTGTGGACACACACATGGACACACACACCGACACACACACACCCACACACACACACCCACACACACACACACAGACACACACACACACACACACACACACACACACACACACACACACACACACACACACACACACACATGCAGGGTTACATCCACAGGGTTCTACAAGGGACCAGCTGATGGAACCTGTGTGTGTGTCTGTGTGTGTGTGTGTGTCTGTGTGTGTTTTCTCACCTGTCAGATCCGTCCGTGCGTAGTGACCATCTCCAGGTTTGATCCCAGGCACCACTTCTCTGTCGTACACTGACCGACAGAAACATAATTAAAACCGCAAGCAGGGATGAGGGCCCTGCATACTGCATTGTACTTGTAGTAGTACTCGTACCTCTGCACTTGCCCAGGTGCCTGACTTCGATGCGCTCCTGCTTCTGACACGACGCCTCTTTGACCTGACAGGGGTTGTCATAGGAACGGCCGTCTGACGCACACACAGGGTTCAGGGAGATGTGCGAGCAGTCGATGTTACACACACACCTGGAAACACACACAAAGGACACACAACGTTTCACTCTCTCTGGACTCTCTCTGTCTCTGGTCTCTGTTTCTCTGTATCTGGTCTCTCTTGTGGTCAATTTAGTCCTCATGGCCCGGTGCATTGTGGGCAGTGTAGTCCTCATGGCCCGGTGCATTGTGGTCAGTGTAGTCCTCATGGCCCGGTTCATTGTGGGCAGTGTAGTCCTCATGGCCAGGTGCATTGTGGGTAGTGTAGTCCTCGTGGCCAGGTGCATTGTGGGCAGTGTAGTCCTCATGGCCCGGTGCATTGTGGGCAGTGTAGTCCTCATGGCCAGGTGCATTGTAGGCAGTGTAGTCTTCATGGCCAGGTGCATTGTGGGTAGTGTAGTCCTCATGGCCAGGTGCATTGTGGGTAGTGTAGTCCTCATGGCCAGGTGCATTGTGGGCAGTGTAGTCCTCATGGCCCGGTGCATTGTGGGTAGTGTAGTCTCACCACACGTCCTCTGCGTCCACGTCGCACTCGGCTCCAAACTGACAGATGTCACAGGTCGACGTCTCCTTCTGTGATGTCTCTGTGGATCCCTCCGCTCCTACAACATGTAAACAACAACAACATAATACAAACTTGAGTTTTGAAAGGCGACTAAGAAATAAAATGTATTATTATGACTTCCTAGATCGGACAGACTCAGCACGGAGTGTTCTGTGAGTGTGTGGATGGAGCTAAACGCAGCTGCAGGTCGGTGTGAGACTGTAAATATATAGAAATGATCCACACAGAGCAATGCATGAGAAGCCTCCTCTCTCCCCCTTCTCTCCTCTCTCCCCCTCTCTCACCCCTCCCATCTCCTGTGTCTCTCCTCGGGTTGCGCCCCTCTCTCTCTCTCTCTCTCTCTCTCTCTCATGTGTGTGTGTCTTCAGGTTTAGGATCTTCATGGGGACAGCTCATCCCTCTCCCTGTCTCCCCCCCTCCCCTCCTCTCCTGTGTGTCTGTCTCCTCTCTGGTTTGGCTCATCCCTCTCTCTCTCTCATCCCTCTCTCCCCCTCCTGTGTATGTTCATCCCTCTCGTTAGTGTCTGAAAGTGCTTTTGAAGCAACTCGTCTCCAGCTCAGCCCGGGGCGCGGAGGGCTCCCATTGGTCGACACACGTCTGCGCTATTTATACCCAGAGTCTAAGATGGAGAGAGCAGCCTCCGACAACACACCTCTATTTCCTCTCCTCACTGGTCTCTCTCTGGTCTTTCAGTCTGGTTCCTCTCTCTCTTCCTGGTCTCTCTCTTAAGACCAGTCTGAGAGGGACCAGAGAGAGACTCGAGTAAGAGTATGAGTGGGAACCTCAGGGTACCTCACGATATGATACGATGTGCGATACAAAGCTCACGATAACAATTATCTCACGATATGACGATGCAGCAATTATCGATATATTGGTCAAAAATATACCTACGATAAAATGTTTCTTTTATTTATGGCATAATTTAAGTGAAAAAATACACTATATTTCAAGATAAATGGATAAAGTGTCATGTGTAACATTAAAGTTAACAACCTCCAGCCTCCGCTAAACTGTCCGCTAATAGTGCTTCCCTCAGATGTATTTTCATGCCTCCCGTAATCACGGGGACAGTAACGTGTTGGAGAAGCCTTTGTCATGTGTTTGTTAGACGAGAGAGAGCGGGGGAGACTAGAGGGAGAGCAGGGGGGAGACAGGCACCTGGGCAGACTGCTCACAGCAGCACCATCATATTTTGTACTGTTTCCATGAACATTTACAATGTTCCTGTGTGTGTTCATGTCCTAATGATCAATATAAGTCTGTCAGTTAGAAAAATAAAAATATTATATGAAAATTCTAAAATCCACAATTTCAACGTCATAATGCAAATTAGATGGGTGGATTTATTCTCTTCATAAACTTTGGACTATCCTTAATATTTTCCTAATTCACAGAAAGCCTTTATCTCTTATCACTTTTAAGTTATAGCCTTTTGAAATTAAGAAGTCACAATCGAGGGTTTTAGAAAAAAACCTTACACCCGTGGGGCGGCACGGTGGCTGAGTGGATAGCACTCTCACCTCTCAGCAAGAAGGTCCTGGGTTCGAATCCTGGCCGGACCAGGGCCTTTCTGAGTGGAGTTTGCATGTTCTCCCCGTGTCTGTGTAGGTTTCCCTTGGGTACTCCGGTTTCCCCTACCACTAAAAACATGTACAATAGGTCTAGCATGCGCCTCCTGTACTGGCGACCCCGCTCCCACTCAAACAAGAGCTCTATGGTCTCTCTTACACCTGTGTTACAGACCTCACATTACACCTGTGTCACAGACCTCACATTACACCTGTGTCACAGACCTCTCTGACCCTGTGTGTGTGTACAGGTGTCAGGTGTTTTCTGAGGCTTGTTTGCTGGTTGTTCTCTGTAAACCTGGCAACGCTCTGGTGTGTTATCGATCGGGATTCAGACACCATCTCTGTCCCAGAGCGCTTCCCCTGCACTTTAGGTCATTCATTATGCAGGAGGGGGAGGGGGAGAGAGAGAGGGGGAGAGAGAGAGGGGGGGAGAGAGTGGAGGAGGAGAGAGAGAGGGGGGGGGAGAGAGTGGAGGAAGAGAGAGAGAGACATGGGTCCAAACACACAGCACCTTTTCCCGCTGTTATATCTTTCTAATTGGTCACACACACACGCAGACACACACACAAACCAGACAGACACACACAGACCAGACACACACACACACATACACAGACCAGACACACACACACACACAAACCAGACACAGACACACACACACACACACACACACCGACCACACACAGACACACACACACACCTACACGGACCAGACACACACACACACCTACACACACACACACACGCACACACACGCACACACGCACACGCACACAGACACTCCATCTGTGAAAGTTGATCCGGTAAATCCTGGACCAGTCCTAATGGAGCTGATGTTGATAATGATGAAGAGGAGGAGGAGGAGGGGGGGGGAGGAAGGGGGGGGGGAGGAAGGGGGGGGGGGATGGATGCTTTTATGTCTATTTTTACTTTAATAACTTGTTTGCATCATGAGGCAAAGCAAATTCATAGTTTGTGACTTCCTGTCTCAGATCCAGGAGCAGTGTGTCCCCACTGGAGGATCATGGGAGTTTGCCTCAGTCACATGTGCTTTGTGGATTTGGAGAAGACGTTTGACCGTGTCCCCGGGGTGTCCTTTGGGGGGTTCTCCGGGAGTACGGGGTCCGGGGTCCTCTGCTGAGGGTCGTCCGAAGCCAGAGCTGCGTGTGCATCAGCAGTAGATCAGGTCGAAGCCCTTTGTCCCTGGTTCTGTTCACTGTCTTCATGGACAGAAAAGCAAAACTCTGCCCAAAGCTCACCTCTGGTCATGAGCTTTGGGCAACGATCGGAAGAACGAGATCGCGGATACAAGCGATCGAAATGAGCTTCCTCCGCAGGGTGGCTGCTCCCTCAGAGATAGAGGAGATCAGTCACACAGAAGGAGCTCGGAGTAGAGCCACTTCTCCCTTAGAGATAGAGGAGCTCAGTCGCACGGGAGGCCTGGGAAGTCTATGCTTAGACTGCTGCCCCCGCGACCCGGCAACGGATGAAGCGGAGGAAAATAGATGGATGGACTTCCTCCTACTGACAACGGCAGTAAAACTATTCTGATGTGGTCTTAAACCCAGAGCACAGGGCCTTCTCTGTGGTCTTAAACCCAGAGCACAGGGCCTTCTCTGTGGTCTCAAACCCAGAGCACAGGGACTTCTCTGTGGTCTTAAACCCAGAGCACAGGGACTTCTCTGTGGTCTTAAACCCAGAGCACAGGGACTTCTCTGTGGTCTTAAACACAGAGCACAGGGACTTCTCTGTGGTCTTAAACCCAGAGCACAGGGACTTCTCTGTGGTCTCAAACCCAGAGCACAGGGCCTTCTCTGTGGTCTCAAACACAGAGCACAGGGACTTCTCTGTGGTCTTAAACCCAGAGCACAGGGACTTCTTTGTGGTCTTAAACCCAGAGCACAGGGCCTTCTCTGTGGTCTCAAACCCAGAGCACAGGGACTTCTTTGTGGTCTCAAACCCAGAGCACAGGGCCTTCTCTGTGGTCTCAAACACAGAGCACAGGGACTTCTCTGTGGTCTTAAACCCAGAGCACAGGGACTTCTTTGTGGTCTTAAACCCAGAGCACAGGGCCTTCTCTGTGGTCTCAAACCCAGAGCACAGGGACTTCTCTGTGGTGAAGTGTGTTTGAACTGCACGCTCCGTCTGCGTCATGTGATTTTCTGATTTCATTTGCTCTTGTCTAAAACGGCTGTAAATCAGAGAGATCTGATTACAGCCTCATGTGACCGGAGTCTGGACCAGGGAGAGACCAGGGAGAGACCAGAGAGAGACCAGGGAGAGACCAGGGAGAGACCAGGGAGAGACCAGGGAGAGACCAGGGAGAGACCAGAGAGAGACCAGAGAGAGACCAGAGAGAGACCAGGGAGAGACCAGGGAGAGACCAGAGCGATATCAGAGAGAACAGTGGTACAAGGGTCTAAACATCAACAGCTTCAAACAGTTCACCACAGAGTGTTTAAAACAGTCTCACCGTCATCTCCGGATCCTGAACCAGCATCTGAAACACACAACACAACATTAGAGACCAGAGAGAGACCAGAGAGAGACCAGAGAGAGACCAGAGAGAGACCAGAGAGAGACCAGAGAGAGACCAGAGAGAGACCAGAGAGAGACCAGAGAGAGACCAGAGAGAGACCAGAGAGGGACCAGAGAGGGACCAGAGAGGGACCAGAGAGGGACCAGAGAGGGGGACCAGAGAGGGGGACCAGAGAGAGGGACCAGAGAGAGGGACCAGAGAGAGGGACCAGAGAGAGGGACCAGAGAGAGAGGGACCAGAGAGAGGGACCAGAGAGAGACCAGAGAGGGACCAGAGAGGGACCAGAGAGGGACCAGAGAGGAACCAGAGCGAGACCAGAGAGGAACCAGAGCGAGACCAGAGAGGGACCAGAGCGAGACCAGAGAGAGGGACCAGAGAGAGAGACCAGAGAGAGAGACCAGAGAGGGACCAGAGAGGGACCAGAGAGGGACCAGAGAGGGACCAGAGAGAGACCAGAGAGGGACCAGAGAGGGACCAGAGGGAGGGACCAGAGAGAGACCAGAGAGAGACCAGAAAGATCCGATCTCCATGCCTTAAACAAATAGTAGTAAATAAACTTTGTTTCCAGCTGACTGCCCCTGACGCAGGAATGGATAAAGGGGAAGAAAATGGATCAATCTTATATATATTTATTTCTGGATCCAGCAGAAAGGCTTTTGTGAGCAGTTTTCAGAGCATGACCAGTGTCCAGTTTCAGCCAGAGAAGGCCCCAGCTTTAGACCTGCTTTAGTCCTGCTTTAGACCTGCTGTAGACCAACTTTAGACCTGCTTTAGTCCTGCTTTAGACCTGCTGTAGACCAACTTTAGTCCTGCTTTAGACCTGCTTTAGTCCTGCTTTAGACCTGCTTTAGTCCAGCTTTAGACCTGCTTTAGACCTGCTTTAGTCCTGCTTTAGTCCTGCTTTAGTCCTGCTTTAGACCTGCTTTAGTCCTGCTTTAGACCTGCTTTAGACCTGCTTTAGTCCTGCTTTAGACCTGCTTTAGACCTGCTCTAGACCAACTTTAGACCTGCTGTAGACCAACTTTAGACCTGCTTTAGACCTGCTTTAGTCCTGCTTTAGACCTGCTGTAGACCAACTTTAGTCCTGCTTTAGACCTGCTTTAGTCCTGCTTTAGACCTGCTTTAGTCCTGCTTTAGTCCAGCTTTAGACCTGCTTTAGACCTGCTCTAGACCAACTTTAGACCTGCTTTAGACCTGCTTTAGTCCTGCTTTAGACCTGCTCTAGACCAACTTTAGACCTGCTCTAGACCAACTTTAGACCTGCTTTAGACCTGCTCTAGACCAACTTTAGACCTGCTCTAGACCAACTTTAGACCTGCTTTAGACCTGCTTTACTCCTGCTCTAGACCAACTTTAGACCTGCTTTAGTCCTGCTTTAGACCTGCTTTAGACCTGCTCTAGACCAACTTTAGACCTGCTTTAGACCTGCTTTAGACCTGCTTTAGTCCTGCTCTAGACCTGCTTTAGACCTGCTTTAGACCTGCTTTAGTCCTGCTTTAGACCAGCTTTAGACCTGCTTTAGACCTGCCTTAGACCAGCTTAAGACCTGATTCAGTCCTGGTCCTGTCCTGGTTCAGTCCTGGTCCAGTCGTGGTCCAGTCCTGGTCCAGGGTGTTTTCCTCTTTCTCTAAAGTCATAAGTTTAAACACAAAGATAACTGTGTTTGGGAAAGCCCCGATGATGTCACAGCCGCGGCAGCCTCTGATTGGTTAAAGCACCGTGTGGTTAACTTTAGATGTGTTTGAAGACCACATGATCGGCACGAGAGAGAGACCAGAGAGAGAGACCACAGAGAGACCAGAGAGCGAGACCAGAGAGAGAGACCACAGAGAGACCAGAGAGCGAGACCAGAGAGAGAGACCACAGAGAGACCAGAGAGCGAGACCAGAGAGCGAGACCAGAGAGCGAGACCAGAGAGCGAGACCAGAGAGCGAGACCAGAGAGCGAGACCAGAGAGCGAGACCAGAGAGCGAGACCAGAGAGCGAGACCAGAGAGCGAGACCAGAGAGCGAGACCAGAGAGCGAGACCAGAGAGCGAGACCAGAGAGACTACAGAGAGACCAGAGAGCGAGACCAGAGAGAGATAGAGAATAATGAGATCATAGTATATATTTGCTGACATATCATACGTGGTACTGAGTCAGTTCTCAAAAGGCAGAGAGAGTGAGGAGCGTGTCAGGAGGATTGGGCCAGAATTCCACTCACCGATAGGACACGCCCCCTCGGTCAGCACCAGGACCTCGGACTGTAGCTTACACGCGTCGCGCCGCAGGAAACACTCGTTCTGGTAGTTGTGGTTGTTCGAGCCGCAGACCGGAGCGTAGTCGTTATTGCACTGAGGAGAGAGAGACCCACTGAGGCGAGAGAGACCCACTGAGGAGAGAGAGACCCACTGAGGCGAGAGAGACCCACTGAGGAGAGAGAGACCCACTGAGGAGAGAGAGGCCGACTGAGGAGAGAGAGACCCACTGAGGAGAGAGAGACCGACTAATGTGTGTACAGTAACTTTTACGACTATGGAGTTTTGTAAATAAAGAAGTAAAAAAGAGAGATTTAATCTGAGCCAAAATACCCTGTTCTCAGCAATAAGACCAGGAACACCATAGAATCAGATTGTCAGTTCCTTCATTTTTTCAGCTTATTTGTATTTAGTAATAATTACTAAAAAGAGCTAGTTTTAACAATTCCCAGTGGAGAACTAAAGAAGCTGTGCTGTATTTACATGTGAATCCCAGTCCTGACTGTACTCAGAGCTCTGTGCTCTCACAGCAGGACAGGTTAGGTTCCTACAGGTGAGGGGGCGGGGCTTACAGGTGAGGGGGCGGGGCTTACAGGTGGGGGGGCGGGGCTTAACCACTGTTCAAATCTCAACCTCTACATCTACATGCTCCAGCACAACCAAACTGTCTCCTCCTGTGGTAAGTCCAATAACATGTTTTTCACTGCATATTATTCACTAATCCAAGCTCCTGAGCAACTAGAGGTTCTACCAATCACAGTATTTGAACTTTGCAATGAAAGTTTGCGTCAAAGTACAACCAGCTTCTGTTAGCCGGTTAGCTGAGTTAGCTTGTACATTTCCCGATTTCACTTGGCAGTTAGCTCAAAACACACCAGACACTTCACCATAGTTCACATGTAACTATCAAACTATTAATGAAGCTGAAGCGCAAATTCAGACTGAAAGACCGAGTGCAACTCGGCCCTTCCAAGCCAACCAATCACACAGCCCGGCCAGCCTCCTGCCAACCCTCTGACAACAAAGCAGGCAGTTTAAAAGGCAAGCAGCGCTTCCTGAAGCTCTTAACACCCACCACCTCCTCTGGCTCCTCCTCTGGCTCCTCCTCTGGCTCCTGCTCTGGCTCCTCCTCTGGCTCCTGCTCTGGCTCCTCCTCTGGCTCCTGCTCCGCCTACGCCCCATTCACACCATGCTTTTAGCCACCACCAGTGCTTGACCCCAGGGGATCTAAGATCATCTTCAGCTGCAATCGATCTCATCGCTGCAAGTGTCACTGCTGGGGTCAATGCGCTAAATAAATAAATAATAATAATAATAATTTGAATGTATTAATTATCTGTCTTTGGTCTCTTCAGATTGAACTGTGTTCTCTTTTCCAGGTGCCAGAGCTGATCGCAGCAGATTATTGTTTGCTAATGTTATCATGTGTTGACTGAAGATGGAGGATATTCAGGAAAGAGACGTTCTGGTGGTTTCAGGTGTGTTTAGCATTGACTGTAACAATAACCAAAGTGTGTTTCCTCAGACACAAGGCCAGGGGCGGACTTTAGGATGTGCAGCAGAGACTTGACTGTAACGTAAGTATTACACCGTTTTTATTGTTTAATACAAAAGATATTAAGACCTGCTTTAGACCTGCTTTAGACCTGCTTTAGTCCTGGTTTAGACCTGGTTTAGACCTGCTTTAGACCTGCTTTAGTCCTGCTTTAGACCTGCTTCAGTCCTGCTTTAGACCTGCTTTAGACCTGCTTTAGACCTGCTTTAGACCTGCTTTAGACCTGCTTTAGTCCTGCTTTAGACCTGCTTTAGACCTGCTTTAGACCTGCTTTAGTCCTGCTTTAGACCTGCTTTAGTCCTGCTTTAGACCTGCTTTAGACCTGCTTTAGACCTGCTTTAGTCCTGCTTTAGACCTGCTTTAGTCCTGCTTTAGACCTGCTTTAGTCCTGCTTTAGACCTGCTTTAGACCTGCTTTAGTCCTGCTTTAGACCTGCTTTAGACCTGCTTTAGACCTGCTTTAGACCTGCTTTAGACCTGCTTTAGTCCTGCTTTAGACCTGCTTTAGACCTGCTTTAGACCTGCTTTAGTCCTGCTTTAGACCTGCTTTAGTCCTGCTTTAGACCTGCTTTAGACCTGCTTTAGACCTGCTTTAGACCTGCTTTAGTCCTGCTTTAGACCTGCTTTAGACCTGCTTTAGACCTGCTTTAGTCCTGCTTTAGACCTGCTTTAGACCTGGTTTAGACCTGCTTTAGACCAGCTTTAGACCTGCTTTAGACCTGGTTTACCCCTGCAGAGCTGTGTGCATATTTCCCGGTGGCCACAGGGGGCGCTGCAGGCTCAGGCTCACCTTGAAGTCGCAGATGCAGGTCACCATGTTCCCGATGCGCAGACACTCGCCGTCGAACTTACAGGTGTTTGTGTCGCAGAGGAACAGGTCGGTGTCGCGGTCGTCGTATCCTGAGGAGAGAACCCAGCAGCGGTGAGGCACTGGTGCTTGGTCTTTAAAGACACGGTAGAATACCCAGTGTGCATCTATAAAGAAGGACAATGCTTACCTACTAGCTCAATGCTAACAAGCTAGCTCAAAGCTAACACACTAGCTCAATGAAGCCCTCCGGTTCCTATGGACTCACATGTAGAAGTAAATGCTAGCACACTAACCATTTGTGTCACAGAGCAGAGTTAGCGTAAAACATGACTTATGGTATTGTTATATTAGGTTGGAGTGTTCACGCTAAACACACCTCGTCAAAAAAAAAATAGGTCGCAAGACGTTTTAGAGGGTCAGTCTGACACCGCAGCTGTTTCTTCGTTATGAGAGGAGAAGTAGGGAAATGACTGGAGCCCTCGTTAGCATCTGTTAGCGCCCTTAGCTCATCAGGGCACTCAGGAAACGTTAGCCTCCCCTCGTAACCTGTGTTAGCCTCTGTTAGCCTATGATAGCCCCTGTTAGCTTCTGTTAGCGCCCTTAGCTCCTCACGGCACACAGGAAACGTCGGCCTCCCCTATGGCGCGCCCTGCTGCTCCGGAGCAGATTACAACCCTCTGAATTATTCACCAAAACAAGAACCTGACATCAAATATTCATCAGAGCGAGTTTTTATCGGACACTCGGGCACTTAGCGCGTTTGTGCTAACGGCTGCGGCTACACCTGCATCAGACGCACATGGTTTATAGATGAGACACAGGAAACACCAGAGATCACACCCTCTCACACTTTACCAGCACTTATCAGAAACCAGAGAGACCAGAGGGAGACCAGAGAGAGACCAGAGGGAGACCAGAGAGACCAGAGGGAGACCAGAGAGAGACCAGAGAGAGACCAGAGAGAGACCAGAGAGAGACCAGAGGGAGACCAGAGAGACCAGAGGGAGACCAGAGGGAGACCAGAGAGAGACCAGAGGGAGACCAGAGGGAGAGAAAGACCAGCGGAAGACCGAAGATAGACCAGAGAAAGACCAGATCCAGAGAGAGAGAGAAAGACCAAAGACCTCAGTCCAGATTCAGAGAGCTCGTGCAGGTCTGATGTCCATTAAAGGAGGTACTTCATATTCATTCAGATCTAATCCAGGTCTCCCTCTAGTCTTCCTCTGGTCTCTCTCTCTCTCTGGTCTCTCCTTCTGGTCTCTCTCTAGTCTTCCTCTGGTCTCTCTCTGGTCTTTGTTCTGTGCTCTCTGGTCTCTCACTTTCTGGTGTCTCTGGTCTCTCTCTGGTTTCTCTCTGGTCTCTCTCTTTCTCTGGTCTATATGGTCCCTCTCTCTGGTCTCTCTGGTCTCGCTCTGGTCTCACTGGGACATATTTATAATAAAACGTTTTCTTGTTTTCATCCTTGTTTCAGAAATATGCAAATGAGGGCTGTTGCCATAGTAACAGATGGACCATTTAAAATCGTGCTGTACAATAATAATCACGACAGTGTTTTGGTAAATGTTCAGTAATATTCTGACCACAGCCTCCGCTCCTGGTCTGGTTCAGCTCGGTTTCCACCAGAACTGAGCCAGTGCCTGTTACCATAGCAACACACTGTTTACTAGCAGCAGTTAACACTCGCTAGCTTCTCAACTCCCTATTTGTGGTCGAGTTTCAGTTCAGAACAGGAGTGTGACATCACCACAGTGTGACATCACCACAGAGTGACATCACCACAGTGTGACATCACCACAGTGCGACATCACCACAGTGTGTGAACATAAGCTAGCTGGATCCTTGTATTTACAATGAACAGATTAATTGAGACTGCGCTAAACAAATAAATTAAACTTATCTGGACATTATTCTCTCTTTATTGGAATGAAGCTGAAGCAGAAACACGTTCAGCGGCTCTACATCAGGCTTTACATCGTGCAGCAACCCTCCTCCTCCCCATCACGGCCTCAGCCAGACCTGCACATCAACCCTTCTCCTTAGTCCCACCACCAGGGTCTAGGCCTGAGAGGACCATCACCAGGGTCTAGGCCTCAGAGGACCACCACCAGGGTCTGGTCCTGAGGGGACCACCACCAGGGTCTAGGCCTCAGAGGACCACCACCAGGGTCTAGGCCTCAGAGGACCACTACCAGGGTCTGGTCCTGAGGGGACCACCACCAGGGTCTAGGCCTGAGAGGACCACCACCAGGGTCTAGGCCTGAGAGGACCACCACCAGGGTCTGGTCCTGAGGGGACCACCACCAGGGTCTAGGCCTGAGGGGACCACCCCCAGGGTCTAGGCCTGAGGGGACCACCCCCAGGGTCTAGGCCTGAGGGGACCACCCCCAGGGTCTAGGCCTGAGGGGACCACCACCAGGGTCTAGGCCGGAGGGGACCACCACCAGGGTCTAGGCCGGAGGGGACCACCCCCAGGGTCTAGGCCTGAGGGGACCACCACCAGGGTCTAGGCCGGAGGGGACCACCACCAGGGTCTAGGCCTGAGGAGCTCCTCATTACTACTGTTCTGTAGCTACTGACGCAAGACTGACATTTCCCGACAGGATCTTCATCTTAACAAGATGAACACCTGATGGACACATTAACACATGATGAACACATGATGAACATGTGATGAACATGTGATGAACATGTTATGAACACATAATGAACACATGATGAACACATGATGAACACATGATGAACACATGAACACATAATGAACACATGATGAACACATGATGAACACATAATGAACACATGATAAACACATTAACACATGGTGAACACATGAACGCATCATGAACACATGATGAACACATGATGAACACATGCTGAACACGCGATGAACACGTGATGAACACGTGATGAACACGTGATGAACACATGATGAACACATGATGAACACATAATGAACACATGATGAACACATGATGAACACATGATGAACACATGATGAACACGTGATGAACACATGAAACACATGATGAACACATGATGAACACATAATGAACACGTGATGAACACATGATGAACACGTGATGAACACGTGATGAACACATGAACACTCACCGGAGCAGTTCCAGCCCGTGGGGGTCTGACAGTCGCTGAGGGAGGAGGGGAACGCGCGCAGCTGCTCCACAGGTGACGCGGCCAGGAGCGACACGAGCGTCAGCCGCATCCATCCGCACACCACCGCGCGGCTCCATCCCCGCGGCAGAACCATGTCAGCGGCGACGCGGCAGAAGCGGCACAAACAACACACCGATCACAGAGAGCATCGTCTGCGCGGCACAGCGGACAGCCCCATGCGGCAAACTTATCCAGATGCGGAATCCAAACGGGAGATCAGAAGGACGCGGTAGAATCCAGACCAAGCGGAAGGACGCGGCAGATGCAGCAGAGCGCGGCAGACGCGGTATTCCAGGTGGTACGGTTAAATCCACGGTGCTCGGAGCAGGAGGATGTGCTCCGGTGTTCTCGTGCGTCCTCCGCGGCGTCTCTCTCCGTGTCTCGCGGTGCACGCGCGGTGACACTTTGACGCTTTCTCTCTCTCTCTCCTCTGCGCGGTCACGTGGGCGCGGTGTGTCCAGCAGAGGGCGCAGTTTCAGGGAACGCGAGACTGATGGAGACATTACCGTAAGTGTCCTGGTCAAGACCTGGTTTATACCTGGTCCCAACCTTGGTTCAGACCTGGTCGAATCCTGGTCCAGTCCTGGTCCAGTTTTGGTCCATTCTTGGTACAGACCTATTACAGTGCTGGTCTGGACCTGGTCCAGACCTGGTCCGGATCTGGTCCGGATCTGGTCCAGACCTGGTCCAGTCCTGGTCCGGATCTGGTCCGGATCTGGTCCAGACCTGGTCCAGTCCTGTATGAAGTCATCGTGGTCTGTATTGATTCTCAAACATCTGCTCGGGTTCAAGTTTCACTCATTAATCTCACGTCGATGAGAAGCATATGGAAACAACTGTAGTTAGAGCAGACGAAATATATTTTATTTATATTAACTTTCATAAAATAAAGATCTGGTCTATCTTCGGTCTTCCGCTGGTCTTTCTCTGGTCTCTCTCTGGTCTCTCTCTGGTCTCTCTCTGGTCTCTCTCTGGTCCATCTTTCAATTCAGTTTAATGTATTTGTGTTTCTAAATCCTAACAGTCGTCTCTGAAGACTTTACAAAGTTGTCTATTCAACAGATCAGAGAATTAAACAGGTCAAACACTGTAAAATTAAATAATAACAAACACATCGGAGCCCATAGGGACCAGGACTGAGGCTGTAGACCCAGGACTGGGGCTGTAGACCCAGGACTGAGGCTGTAGACCCAGGACTGAGGCTGTAGACCCAGGACTGAGGCTGTAGACCCAGGACTGAGGCTGTAGACCCAGGACTGAGGCTGTAGACCCAGGACTGAGGCTGTAGACCAGGTCCAGTGTCTCTCGTTCACATCTGCTCTTCATTTTCTCTCCACATGAAAAACATCTCTAATGTTTTTCTCCTGCAGCGTTTTGACACAAGTGAAGTTTTACAACCTCAGGGTTCAGTCCTGGTTCAGACCTGGTTCAGACCGGGTTCAGACCTGGTTCAGTCCTGGTTCAGTCCAGTAGACCAAGACCAGACCCAGACCAGTGCCATGGATGTGTTTACAGTCCTATTGTTGTTCTCTGAAAGTTACAAACCTGAGCTTTAACCTATTATTTAGTCTCATAAATAACACATGTTTAAAGCTCAGGTCTGTAACTTTAGTCTCATAAATAACACATGTTTAAAGCTCAGGTCTGTAACTTTAGTCTCATAAATAACACATGTTTAAAGCTCAAGTCTGTAACTTTAGTCTCATAAATAACACATGTTTAAAGCTCAAGTCTGTAACTTTAGTCTCATAAATAACACATGTTTAAAGCTCAGGTCTGTAACTTTAGTCTCATAAATAACACATGTTTAAAGCTCAGGTCTGTAACTTTAGTCTCATAAATAACACATGTTTAAAGCTCAGGTCTGTAACTTTAGTCTCATAAATAACACATGTTTAAAGCTCAAGTCTGTAACTTTAGTCTCATAAATAACACATGTTTAAAGCTCAGGTCTGTAACTTTAGTCTCATAAATAACACATGTTTAAAGCTCGAGGAGGCAGCAGTGAGGCGTTCACTGTCCAGTTACACACTTGATTGTAGAACAGAGCCCCCTGCTGACACACACACTCACACACACGGACACGCACACACACAAACAGAGACACACACACACAGAGACACCCACACACACGGACACGCACACACACAAACAGAGACACACACACTCACGTACACAAACAGAGACACACACACACACAAACAGAGACACACACACACACACACTCCTCTGCTGGAGAAGGTGACCTCCCCATCCACACTTCTCTGGGTTTCTGTGTGTGCGTGTCTTTGTGTGTGTGTGTGCGTGTGCGTCTCTGTTTATGTTTGTGTGTGTGATATAAAACATGTTGAGTCTCAGGACACGTCTGTGCTGTTTTTATTGTTTTATTTGGAATAATTCAATAAAGCTGTCCCACTAGAAAGGACCAGAGAGAGACCAGAGAGAGAGCGGAGAGAGACCAGAGAGAGATCAGAGAGAGACCAGAGAGAGACCAGAGAGAGATCAGAGAGAGACCAGAGAGAGACCAGAGAGAGACCAGAGAGAGACCAGAGGGAGACCAGAGAGAGACCAGAGGGAGACCAGAGAGAGACCAGAGAGAGACCAGAGAGAGACCAGAGAGAGACCAGAGAGAGAGACTAGAGAGAGAGACCAGAGAGAGACCAGAGAGAGACCAGAGAGAGACCAGAGAGAGACCAGAGAGAGACCAGAGAGAGATCAGAGGGAGACCAGAGAGAGACCAGAGAGAGACCAGAGAGAGACCAGAGAGAGACCAGAGAGGTACCAGAGAGAGACCAGAGAGAGACCAGAGGGAGACCAGAGGGAGACCAGAGAGAGACCAGAGAGAGACCAGAGAGAGATCAGAGGGAGACCAGAGAGAGACCAGAGAGAGACCAGAGAGAGACCAGAGAGAGACCAGAGAGAGACCAGAGAGAGAGACCAGAGAGGTACCAGAGAGAGACCAGAGAGAGACCAGAGGGAGAGCAGAGGGAGACCAGGGAGAGACCAGAGGGAGACCAGAGAGAGACCAGAGAGAGAGCAGAGGGAGACCAGAGAGAGACCAGAGAGAGACCAGAGGGAGACCAGAGAGAGACCAGAGAGAGACCAGATGGAGACCAGAGAGAGACCAGAGGGAGACCAGAGAGAGACCAGAGGGAGACTTGAGACCACAGAGCACCAGGAGAATCACTTTCTGCTTTATTTCTGGGTCGTTGCTCCAGTTTATGAAATGAAAAATTCAGCTTGTATCTTTTCCTCGTTATCATTTATTCATGTGACCCAAAATGGCCGCCGCAGAGCTGCACTTTCAGACGTCTGGTCCATGAATCACAGAGAGACATGTAAACACAGGGGTGATGTGTTCTTAAAGTAACAGACAATAAGATAAATACTCTCAGTAGACCAGAGACAGACCAGAAAGAGACCAGAGAGAGAGACCAGAGAGAGACCAGAGAGAGACCAGAGAGAGAGACCAGAGAGAGACCAGAGAGAGACCAGAGACAGACCAGAGAGAGAGACCAGAGATAGGCCAGAGAGAGCGAGAGAGACCAGAGAGAGACCAGAGAGAGACCAGAGAGAGACCAGAGACAGACCAGAGAGAGAGACCAGAGATAGGCCAGAGAGAGCGAGAGAGACCGGAGAGAGACCAGAGAGAGACCAGAGAGAGACCAGAGACAGACCAGAGAGAGAGACCAGAGATAGGCCAGAGAGAGCGAGAGAGACCGGAGAGAGACCAGAGAGAGACCAGAGAGAGACCAGAGACAGACCAGAGAGAGAGACCAGAGATAGGCCAGAGAGAGCGAGAGAGACCGGAGAGAGACCAGAGAGAGGCCAGAGAGAGACCAGAGAGAGAGACCGGAGAGAGACCAGAGAGAGACCGAAGAGAGACCAGAGAGAGACCATAGAGTGAACAGAGAGAGACCGGAGAGAGACCAGAGAGAGACCAGAGAGAGAGACCGGAGAGAGACCAGAGAGAGAGACCGGAGAGAGACCAGAGAGAGACCAGAGAGGGACAAAAGTATTATAATTATTACTGTATACTGTGTACATCGGCTTAAACTGACACAGAAGACAGAATGTTTAAATACAGCTTTAACTTTGGACTCTCTGTCTTGACCTATAGAGCGCATTGTGGCTTTAGACCTTCTTTAGTGGTGCTTTAGACCTGCTTTAGTCCTGCTTTAGTCCTGCTTTAGTCCTGCTTTAGACCTGCTTTAGACCTGCTTTAGTCCTGCTTTAGACCTGCTTTAGACCTGCTTTAGACCTGCTTTAGTCCTGCTTTAGACCTGCTTTAGACCTGCTTTAGTCCTGCTTTAGACCAGCTTTAGTCCTTCTCTAGTCCTGCTTTAGACCTGCTTTAGTCCTTCTCTAGTCCTGCTTTAGACCTGCTTTAGTCCTGCTTTAGACCTGCTTTAGTCCTGCTTTAGACCGGCTTAAGACCTAAACGGTTCCGTCTCATGGATCTATAATAATAACGTTCCGTCTCGACCACAGTCTGTAAAGTTCTGACGTATGTGTTTGGACCGGATCCGTCCACTGTCTATGACGTATTAGGTCTGTGCACGCGCCCCTGCACACCGTTGTCACGTGACTCTCCCGCCTTCCCTTTTCTTACGTAGAGTACGCAGACCGCGTGCTCTTCGTCCAGTGTCGCTGCGCAAACTGCGTAATAGGCTTTAGAGAATCGCGCTTGCGCAGTGGACGCCGCGTTTTGGTACCGAGTGGAGAGGAGCTGCACACGGCCCCACGGTGAGAGCATATAAACACGAAGCGCGTGGGAGAGAGGGGAGACCGAGGAGAGACATGGGGGAGAGAGGGGAGAGGAGAGACCGAGGAAAGACATGGGGGAGAGAGGGGAGACCGAGGAGAGACACGGGGGATAGAGGGGAGACCGAGGAGAGACACGGGGGAGAGAGGGGAGACCGAGGAGAGACATGGGGGAGAGAGGGGAGACCGAGGAGAGACACGGGGGATAGAGAGGGAGACCGAGGAGAGACATGGGGGAGAGAGGGGAGACCGAGGAGAGACATGGGGGAGAGAGGGGAGACCGAGGAGACCGAGGAGAGACACGGGGGAGAGAGGGGAGAGGAGAGACCGAGGAAAGACATGGGGAGAGAGGGGAGACCGAGGAGAGACATGGGGGAGAGAGGGGAGACCGAGGAGAGACATGGGGGAGAGAGGGGAGACCGAGGAGAGACATGGGGGAGAGAGGGGAGACCGAGGAGAGACATGGGGGAGAGAGGGGAGACCGAGGAGAGACATGGGGGAGAGAGGGGAGACCGAGGAGAGACATGGGGGAGAGAGGGGAGACCGAGGAGAGACATGGGGGAGAGAGGGGAGACCGAGGAGAGCGAGGGGAGACCGAGGAGAGACATGGGGGAGAGACATGGGGGAGAGAGGGGAGACCGAGGAGAGACATGGGGGAGAGAGGGGAGACCGAGGAGAGCGAGGGGGGAGAGGGGAGATATGGAGGAGAGAGGGGAGACCGAGGAGAGAGACAGGAAGG